CTCTAAACTTATTTAACAAAGCTAATAAGTATCGCAAGACTCAAAAGTACATGGCAACACCATCATTGATGTGTAATGATTTCGGTTTATCTTGCTAAAATATTCCGTATACAAACTCTAATTTAATTTAACAGAGCTATTAACGTTAACATTTTCTCTACGAAACTACTAATCATATAAGATGAGATTTAGCATACTACTGGATATTATAGACATGCTATACACTTATTTATCAAAGCTAATGAGTGCGCTTGCAGAAAAAATATATCGTGGTTCTTCTCCCAATGGTTATCTCCATTACGCTAATTGTTGAGAAGAAAGAAAATTTGATGCAAATGAATTGAGATAAGTGTCTGATTTGTACTCGACGAACAGTGCGTTTAAGTAGAAAAGGGGGGTGAGTTTTTAGACTGCCTCGATAGAACCGTTTCGATGAAAGTATTTAAAAAAAAAAACTTAATACTAAACTAGTCTGACACAAAGCCTATAGGAAACGTGTAGAGATGGATAACAGAAGAAAGATAAAGAACGATATAATTAGAAGTCGATAGAAACGAAGTTTCACTTTCTATAGGGGTAGAATGGTAAAGAGCTTATGTGTGATTATAACTACACGACAAAAATAGGGCAGATGCCTAATATGCCAATTTTCCTTGTGTGTACACTGCAAATACTCAATAATATAAGTCATATAATTGATTGAACCGTATTACTTAAATTAAATCAACACAATTAATGTAAAAAGAAGGCCTTAATGTAAACTACCTTCAAAATATGGCAGGTATCTATGTGTATACCGAAAACACATATTTTCTCCTACAAATATGGAATGTTCTAAAAGAATATATATCATCAAAATATGGAATATGGAAATCTACTAATTATACTTAAATTAAACCAGTGGTTATTTATGAAATATAGTTTTGGAATTACTTTTATTTTTGAACAAATTATATAGTTTGGTTTTTGGGCTTAGTATTAAGAAAAAAACTCTAAAAACATTGAATAAACTTTTCACCTTAAAAGATCAAAAAATCAATTATTATTTTCAGACCCAAAAGGTATTTAATATTTTTAACAAAACAAAATTATCTATTATTAATCATTTATTTAAATCATGTACTTTAAAACATGTTAATATATTTTTTATTTTAATTAACAATCACTTTGTTTTGATAAATTTCAATGGTAACTTTTAAATAATTTATTGTTTTATTTTTCTTAAATAATTTACTGATTAAAAAAATGTAAAGCAAAATCAAAAACCAAATTAAAAACTAAAATCCAAAACCAAAAGCTGAAAACACATGTTATATTTTTTGCTTTGTTTATTTACAAAATAAACTATTTCAATTTTTTTTAAAAATTTGTTGTCATCTTTTCAATTTTGAATTAGATGTTCGATTATTTGAGATTTGTTTGTTAGTAATATTAGTTCAAACTAACTCAGCGGGTTTAAAAAATAAAAACCCAAACCAAAAACTGAAAATGAAAAGTAGAAACTTAAAAACTAAAAACCAAAAACCAAAATCTAAAAATAAAAAGTGAAACTAAAAACTAATGAAAAATAATCATCACCACAAATTTTGGTGAACTGATTTTATATCAAAATATTCTTTAAACTAAGACAAAACTCAATTATATAAATTTTTAATCATAAAAAGTTTCCGCGCTTTCTTTAATTTTTAAATATTTTATTTAAGAATAAGTTCTTAATTTTTCTTAGTTAAAAATTAAGAGACAATAAGAACTTCACCCTAAAAACCCTTAATAATCATGCTCTAAAGCCCCTAATTGCCATCTAGCTATTTCTTTAGCATTGATTCAGAGCTGAACTGATTATAAACTGGCTTCAACATGTGTAACTCAAACTTGAAGATTAACTGAACAGAGCAAAATGGCTGTTCCTTAAAGAATTTTCACAAACAAGATTGCATACTACAAACAAATAACACAAACCAACCTCTTCTCATCTAAGTTTTACACCCTGTTTCTTCAGGATGTGCAATTCACGCATCCGGTTCTTGATTAGAACGAGAACTCGAGGAGCCAGGTTTTGGAGCACCGTGTTTCTTGTTCTTCCTTATTCTAGCTTTCTTGGCTTTCATTCTCCGTTTCTTCTCAGCTGAGTCTACCCATGTGTAATCTGAAGGTATGAGGAAAGGGTCCACTTCATCGTCCCTGTAACGGTTACTGTCACAGTCACTTGACTGGCCACGACCGTGAGTACCTTTCATCCATGACACCCATGACGAATCTGATGACTTTGCATCATGAAAGACAGGGCTAGTAGGAGGCGTTGAGAATTCCTCTGATGGTTGTAGCTCTTCAAATTTAGTGAAAGTGACAAGAACACGAACTGTTGGAATAATGGGGATTGCAATCTACACAATAAGCAGACAAGACCTGGTAAGAAAACATAAGAAAGGGAAATCAATAAAGGGGTCAAAAGAAGTTACCTTAACAGGGAATGTTCCTGTTGGAAGTTTTGTGGTGAGAAGCTCTCTGAGTCTCCTCACTGCTTTGACCTTATTGGCTAATATGTCAAGAAGTGGAAGTAGCTCTTCTGTCTTTAGAGGGAAGTCAGGTGTTAACCATAACACAGGTCTTAACCCTTTCTTGTACTCACTTTCACTCTTTTTCTTCTTGGCACTGCCTTTGTCCTTTGTGGTATTATCAGTCCTCTGGCTTTTCCCTTTCTCTTCTGGTGCCAACTTAGAGCCTTTCTTAAGCTTAGTTGTTGTATCTTCACTGCCATCATAACCAGGTTTTGAGCCTTTCTTATTCCAACCAAACCAGCCTTTCTTCTCCTTGAGAGAAGCACCATTCACTTCTCCTGAACCACTTTCCTGATGATTGTTAACATCATTCTCTTCATCTTCCCCCATCTTCAAAGCAGAATCCAATTGCTTTCTCTCCTCAGAGGTTAACACATCTTCAAAACCATCATTCTCAGCACCATTCACCACTCTATCTCCATCAACAGCAAAGAGCTCCTCATCACTAACTGCACCTGGAACACTTCTAGACTTAACACTGACCATCACATGCATCATATCATACACTTTAGCTTTCCAACTCCCAACACTCTCCGTCCTCTCTTGCCGCCTCCAGTTACACTGAGGAACCAACTCAGCCTGAGTTACATCAATCCCAGGCCTATACATATTAGTCTGAGACATCTGTTTCACTTCATTAGCCACTTCAGTCTCCGTAGGCTGAGTCCCCGCCCCTTCCAAAGCATTTGTCACTTCCTGCTCCTTATGAGAAAGAACAATCAACGAACCAGGAGACAGTCTCATCTTCCCATCTTCAGAACCATAACCATCTCCAAGAAAAAGAAAAGTCTGATCTGATCTTTGGATCTTAAACCCATCAAAACCTGCTAGAGTCATATCAGCACGGAGATTGCAACCACGCTTCCATATCCTGTAAGTATCAGAAGGAGCAATACGGCTAACAAAAGGAATCACAGAGCTCTCAAAATGAAAAGTTATCTCCATGTAAAAGTCACGTATCCGCGACGCAGAAGCGGTTATCCTCGGAAGCCTCCTACACCATTTAGCCCAAGCAAGAGGCTGATAATGCCTTGCAATGATCATAGCAATGGCCTCCTCTCTAGTACACACAGCTTCCTGTAACGCACTCCAACCATTCTCGTTCTGCAGACTCCAATCTGCTCCTGCAGACATTAAAATCTCAGCAGAGACTGGATCACGGAGACGTACAGCGAGGTGTAGAGGTGTTTCACGGTTAGGAACATCACGGCGGTCAATGACAGCAGTTACTGCATCAGCACGTGACTCAGCTTCTAAAGACTCTGCTTCGTTGGTGACCTCACCAGCCTTAGCTAAGGTGGGAAGGTCCATAACGATTCGTTTAAGAGCAGCATGGTCATGAAGCACAACAGCTAGATGGGCTGGACTGTGTGTATATTTAGAGTAATCTTCCATAGGTTTTCACTTCTTTATATTAGCTTAGAGAGGTTTGGTAACACTTTGTTCTCATCTATTCTCCTTCAACTACATGTAAAGTTTTGACCTTTTAAGAAACAGAGGATCACAAACATGTAAAGTTTTGACCTTTAAAAACAGGGGAAGAAACAGAGGATCGCAAACAGAGAGAAAAAGAAGTTTCTTTTTATCTTTTTTTCAACACACAGATTCCTCTATAAGCTCCACATTAAAGCAACCTAGAGATTCCGAAGATAAGAACCCATTAGTTTAATTGCAAGATCAAATTGAAAGTTTTCAACTTTAGATGGAAACAAATCTAAAAACAAACCACAAATAACATAAACTAGCTGTTAGTGTATTTGTATCTCTTATAGCAAAACAAGTTTATGTCTTTATGAGAGATTCAAGAGAAACCAAACATGTCTCTACGTTCCCTTGTCCTTGTAAGACATTAAGGAAAGGTCACAAGAGAAGAACCTGAGGAGAGAGAAGGCTCGTGGAGTCCAGAGCCAATGCGAACGGTTCGATCTAAAGCTTTACTCAGATCTCTCTCTCTCTCTCTCTCTCTGGAGCTTTGGTTGATACCATTTGGTTTATGCTTTACGGTTCTGTCATTCTGTGGAGGGAGGGAAACTGATTTACCCTCGGATTTGGAGTTTATTAACGACTTTGCCATCTGATTTTAGCTTTATACGTCTCTCTTTCTATACATTTACAGGGTGGCTAGTTCAGCTTTCATTGTTTCATAATAAACCCATCACTCTCTTTTTAGTACAAGTGAATCTGAAAATGATCAAGGATTTTAATTGCTGTCTAAATGCTACTCAGTTACAGATCTAAAGAGACAAAAGATGGGTTGTACTGTTTTGGAACCGGTTCTTGAGAATTATTAGGACAAATAATCCTGTGGTTTCTTTCCTTTGTCTTGTGAAATGAAATCAGAGTTTTGTGGGTGGGGGTGTGTGTGTTACAACTCTTAACAAAAAAAAAGAGCACATGTGATACCACAAAAAAACAACTAAAACCTGAAGATACTTTTTTGGATTCCTCTCTAAAGACACAACCAACCAACAAGGAAAGACAAAAGATGAAAACATGGCATTATTTGGTTTTCACATTGTCTCAATAACTGGAAAAATGATGAGTTTAACTCATAATAATTTTTTGAAAGAAGACTCGAAAGTAATTTAAACTTCATAGTTGTCAAGAACATTGTGAATAGAGTTGATAGTCCTTTGACGATTGATACATCAGAAAGCATATTAGTGGATTTGCAATTGTGACTAAACTTTTGTGTGATAAATTTCTCCAAAATATTGGAGATGAATATGAAGAAAACAATAACTATGCACCAAATCCCGAAAATATTTTCCATGGATAAGTAGTAAGAACCTGCTCTTTTTTTTTTTTTTGTGTGGGGAATGTTGTGTTTCTTCTCTTGAGCGTGACTCCTCTTTCTCTTGGTCTTGATCGAGAGAAATACAATAATCACGGCAAAAAAAAAAAACGGCAAAAAATAAAATAGTTTTTCTACACTTATCAAACAACCAGCCAGGTGTGTTGAAAGGAGGTTACAAAGGCTCTTCTTCTTTTGATTCTCAGCAACTGTAATTGTATCTTGCGATGCTTTTGAGTTGTCTGTGTTTATGTCTATGAATATTATCCCCATGTACAAGTGTACTAAATGTTGATAAACATGTTGATGATCTGAATTTCAAGGCCACTGAGTTAAAACATAAACAGGTTGAAGATAAACTCAAGTAAGCTTCAAGGGTTTGTTGATATGTATATATCTGAAGAAAGACAAGACTTTGGAAGTTTTACAGGGTTTAGAATTGTTTTATATATTATTTGATTTTTTTTTTAATTTATCTAAATAATCTGAAGGAAAATTGTGACAAAATATTAAAAATGGCTAAATCTAATATTTTGTATTGTTTGGACATAAGATTAATGATAGTGTTGTTTGGAAACATGGATAATAGTATAAAGAGATGAGTATATTGTTTGGAAACATATATACTAATATAAAAAATAAATATATTATTTAGAAATATGGACACTAGTATCAATAAAAGAATATTAGTAATTTAATGTATATTTAATTATAAAGTAGAAATATATTTTTAATGTAAAAACTTACAAAATAAATATTAGGTCTAACCTAATGTTTCTATTTTAATAAGGTAGATATTATTATTAGTTCGTCAATAACAACTCAATGTGAACAACAACAATATTTGGGAGTAGGGGGGCTTGCAAAAGCAACACAAGAGCCATCTCTGTATGTTTTTTTTAAACAAATCGTTTTGCACTTTTTGTCGCTAAGTTTATCACTGCAAGGATTGAAACAAGATGTACCCACCGCTTCGGTCGGTGGAAAGGTGCCTATTTGAAAGAAAGAAAAAAAAAAGAAAGAAAACAATTATTTGATAAAGTCATCTTAACACAACAAAAAAAACACAACTAATTGTTTATGATAGATTAATTCCATATCCATTTTATAGAATCAGATATTCAGAAATATTTTATGAAAACAATGATTTGTTTTATAATTTGGAAGGTTATTTTAATCAAAATACTGATTGCATATCAAAGTAAAAAAAATATATATATTCATAATAATGTAAAAAACTTGCAAATGTGTATAAATACCAATTGTTCGGCTATGAATGGAACAAAACCACCATGAGAACTGTGAGGGTGAATGCAATCAACATTGTTGAAAACCTCATCTTCATATAGTTGGATTTCTAACACGGCTTAACTAATCTCTGTTGTGTTTTTCTTTTCTGTTTATTAATTCTCAAGAATGTATTAGTCTATTTATAAATACACCAAATTGTTTTGGTCATCATTCATATCTATAACCATTAATTTCGTATATACTCATACAATGTAATGTAAGATATGGTCAATTCACCATAAAGTTTTGTGATATAATATAATTATTGATTCTTTATCTTAATAATAAATGTTTCCCTTTTTAAACATTGACAAATAATAGTTTGATTGGCAGAACATTAGTATAAGCATTATGCTCTTTAGTATCTAATCAACATTTGTCAAAAAAATATTTAGAACAACATTAGCCAAATGCTAATGCTCACCAAATGTTATTTGTTCAGTGCTCTCAAATAGAGTTTTTGGGAGAGCATTTGCAGTTATAATGTATAAAACTTAACAATTAATTATATAGAAGTAATTTATTTTTAATAATATAAAAAATATTTTTATAATAAAAATATATTTTTTATTTTTAAAAATTAAAATAAAACTATAACTAGATATTTTAAATTATTAGAAAACAAATATTATATTTAAAATATAATATAATTTATATAATTAAATATATCATTCATTATTATTAATAACAAACATAACATAATATATATTATAGATACAAACATATACATATTATTTAGACACTAATAAATAAATTATATAACATATATTAATTTTTATGATAATTTTATATATGAATCATTTACTGTTCCATCGATAAATAAATAATAATTTTATGAAGGATTTCAAAAATGAATTCTCAAGATGTTTGTGTATGTGAAAAAATAGTCATTTTCTGAAGGGATCATATATATTTTCGGAAGGTTTCAGAAACATTTTCTGAAGAGCTCAAATTTTTTTTAAAGATGTCATGATTGATTTCTGAAGGATACATAATTGATTTCTGAAGAGTCCAAAATATTTTTTCTTCAAAATATTTGAAACAACTACAAAATTCTTTCTTAGAGTTTCAAAAATGAATTCTCAAGATGCTTGTGTATGTGAAAAGATAAGTCATTTTCTCAAGGGTTCAGAAACATTTTGTGAAGGGCTCAGAAACATTTTGTGAATGGTTCAGAAACATTTTCTGAAGGGTTCAGAATTTATTTCTAGAGGGTTCAGAATTGATTTTTGAAGGATTCAATTTTTTAAGAAAAATTCAAAATTTTTTTTGAAGGGTTAGAAACTTTTTTGAAGGGTTTAAAATTGATTTCTGAAAGGTTAAAAAAATTGCGTTGATTCCAGCCACTCTATCTCTCTCTTTATTTTCTCATAATAATATTTATATACTTATAATAATTTCTGAAGGGTTTGAAATTATTTCTTGAAGGGTTCATAAACATTTAATGAAGGATTCATAAACATTTTCTGAAAAAGGTTCATAAACATTTTATTAAGGGCTCAGTTATTTCCGAAGGGTTTATAATTAATTTCTGACGGTTTAGAAATATTTTTCTGAAGAGTTTCAAAAAGGAGTTCTCAAGATGTTCGTATATGTGAAAAGAGAAATCATTTTCTGAAGGGCTTAGAAACATTTTCTGAAATGTTTTTTTTAAGGGTTCAGAAATATTTTCTGAATGGTCTAGAATTGATTTCTGAAGGTTCATAAGAGTTTTTCTGAATAGCTCGGGAACATTTTTTGAAGGATTCATAATTGATTTTTGAAGGGTTCTAATGATAATTTTGTCATATTCTTGAATAATATGTTCAAGTTTAGAATTGATTTTTGACCGTTAAAGAATATTTTTTTGAAGAGTTCAGAGTATATTCTAATGGTCGTATATTGATAACTGACTATAGTTATAAACATAATTTGTTTTCAATATGTGCTGACCATTTACAATATAAAAATTAAGATCCAGCCAAGGCATCATGAAGCAAGGTTGCAATCTTCAACAAAATCACAATTTAACAAAGACAATTAGGACAGAACAGAGTTGAGAGACAAGAAATGGACATGTCTGAAATGGGAAAGCCACTGATCGAAGAGGTTTTGTATGAATCCGGGTTTTGAGGTCAGGACGAAAGAAGACATCTCTTGTAGCTGAAGCAAATCAGCATTAACGCAAGATATTTCTGCTCCGGGAACAATCACATCCCCAATAATCCAATTTTATGTTTAAACCTATATTTCGTTTATTATATTAAGAATGCAAGCAAATCTTTTTTTTTATATGTAAAAAATGATTTCAACTATTTGCCGAAAACCCAATTGTTGTAAATAATTATTTCCACCAACAAACTGAATCCATGTTATCGTAGTTATAGTCACGACCCACTGGCAATTTGACATTGGCATACAAGCAAATCTCAAATCATATGAAGTCACAAAATACGGTCTTGGTAATTAAGTAACAAAGACTTTGTTTTAATTTTCACTAGATCATTACCCGCACGAATGCACAAATTTTATTTTTTCAGATATACTTCATATAATTTAGTTTTATATAATTTCGAGTTTGTTCAATTCAATTTTATGTTTAAAGAACAATATCAAAATTGTATTTTGTATTAATAGCATCAAGCCGTGCATTATGTTGATGTAATCGTGCAACGAAACACTAATTCAGTACGTTTGTTCGAAGTACAAAATCAACTTCAAAATTAACTGTTTGTATTAAAAAAATAAGTTGAAATTTTAATTACTTCTGATGTTAATAATTATTCAAAGTAGGTTTTATCAAATTCAAACTTAACTTTGGTCTTAATTGTGCAAGCACATATATTTTATGATGAAAATTTTCATAAATAAGTTAACAAATATTTTGGTAATTGAAAGAATTTATGTATTTAAAATATTATTTATTTAAATCAGTATTTTTAAATTCAATCCGGACCACAGTTAAACTGGTGTGATCCGATAATTTAATTTTCATTTTTAAAATCCATATTTAAAATTTCACTAAAACACAAGACTAACCAATTAAACCAATGGATAACTGATATGTAATAATAAAACATGTAAAAATAATTTATTTTTATTGTTTTATATATTATTTCATTTTTTTAATTTATCTAAATAATTTAAAAAAAAATTGTGACAAAATATTAAAAAGAGTGAGATCTAATATTTTGTATTGTTTGGACATAAGATTAATGATACTGTTGTTTGGAAACATGGATAGTAGTATAAAGAGATGAATATATTGTATGGAAAAATAAATAGTAGTATAAAAAATAAATATATTGTTTGAAAATATGGACAGTAGTATCAATAAATGAATAGTAATAATTTAATATATGTTTAACTATAAAGTAAAAAAATGTATTTAATTTAAAAACTTACAAAATAAATATGAAATCTAACCTAATGTTTCTGTTTTAATAAGGTAGATATTTTTATTAGTTTGTCAATAACAACTCAATGTGAACAACAACAATATTTGGGAGTAGGGGGCCTTGCATAAGCAACACAAGAGCCATCTCTGTATGTCTTTTTTAAGCAAATCGTTTTGCACTTTTTGTCGCTAAGTTTATCACTGCAAGGATTGAAACAAGATGTACCCACCGCTTCGGTCGGTGGAAAGGTGCCTATTTGAAAGAAAGAAAAAAAAAAAAAAGAAAACAATTATTTGATAAAGTCATCTTAACACAACAAATACAATTGTTTATGATAGATTAATTCCATACCCATTTTATAGAATCAGATATTCAGAAATATTTTATGAAAACAATGATTTGTTTTATAATTTGGAAGGTTGTTTTAATCAAAATACTGATTGCATATCAAAGTAAAAAATATATATTCATAATAATGTAATGAACTTGCAAATGTGTATAAATACCAATTGTTCGGCCATGAATGGAAGAAAGCACCATGAGAACGGTGAGGGTGAATGCAATCAACATTGTTGAAAACTTCATCTTAATATAGTTGGATTTATAACACGGCTTAACTAATCTCTGTTGTGTTTTTCTTTTCTGATTATTAATTCTCAAGAATGTATTAGTCTATTTATAAATGCACCAAATTGTTTTGGTCATCATTCATATCTATAACCATTAATTTCGTATATACTCATACAATGTAATGTAAGATATGGTCAATTCACCATAAAGTTTTGTGATATAATATAATTATTGATTCTTAATCTTAATAATAAATGTTTCCCTTTTTAAACATTGACAAACAAGAGCTTGATTGGTAGAACATTATATAAGCATTATGTTCTTTATTATCTAATCAACATTTGTCAAAAAAAGAACAATATTAGCCAAATGCTAATGCTCACCAAATGTTATTTGTGCAATGGTCTCAAATGGAACTTTTGGGAGAGCATTTGAAGTTATAATATATAAAACTTCAAAATTAATTATATAGAAGTAATTTATTTTTAATAATAGAAAAACTAATTTTATGATAAAAATAATTGTTTATTTTTAAAAATAAAAATAAAAATATAACTAAATATTTTAAATTATTAAAACAATATTATATTTAAAATATAAATAATATATATATAATTAGATATATCATTCATTATTATTAATAACAAACATAACATAATATATATTATATATATAAACATATACATATTATTTATACACTAATAAATAAATTATATAACATATATTGATTATTAAGATAATTTTAGATATGAATCATTTACTGTTCCATCGATAAATAAATAACAATAATTTATATATATATATATATTATATATAATTAATTTATTATTTATTCAATAATATTAAATTATGTTTATATCCAAAAATAACTTAATATTTTGAAAACAAATTTTATATTTTTAAATAATAATATTTCACATATAAACTATAATATAATTATTATAATGAATAAGATTCATTATTTGTAATAACAAATATATCATTAATATATACTATAAAAATATAAATATATTTATAATAAATATTTTATTATACTGGGGGTGATTGGTTGGGCTTTCTCTCCCTACTTTAGCTTTATTTTGTTTTAAAACACTAAATTTTACCAATTATGTTGTAGTTTTATTTTTGAAAATTAAAGCCTACAAAAAATTTCTGTTAACTTTTACCAATAATGCTTTAACTTTATTTTTAAAGCTACAACAAAAAAATTAAAGCAGTTTTTTTTTTTCTTATGTGTTTTAGGTAAAATCTCTATATCTTTGTTTTATATGTTGTGGAAACTGTAATACGAAAAATATATAAAATATCAAATACATTAGATAATCTTAATAAAAATTATCTATAAATATTTAGCATAGTTTTGGGTGTTTTTAAAATTATTGAAATATTTTAAATAACCAATATTATTTACATATCAGATTTTAAATAACAATAAATTTTGATAATTTTTTAAAAATATTAATAAAAATTATTTTAGTTGATACAAAAATAATTATTTTATCTATACATAACATATTTCATATATTTTATTTGAAATATCTACAGCTTACAGTTTACAGCTACAACAAATTTAATTACAGCAAAAATCTATGCAAGAAAATCTACGGTAACAACTTTACAATTACAACCAACTTATTTATAGCTAAATTTTTACAGCTATTGTCGAACCAATTATCACCACTAACTATTATGATAATTTTAAAATTATATATTACTACTGCTATGTCAATCATTTTATTAAAAACTTTAATTAAAGCATATAGTTTTTCTAACATACTGATTCTACAGCATAGTGCTAATGTTTTATCATCCGCCGTAGAGCAAGTTACAAGTCACTATCCAAAATTTTTGTAAGTTTTTTATATAGACAGCCCCAAAATTGTGAAATATTTTTTATTAAAGTTCTTTAAAATTATATGTGGCCTCCAAAATCTCAGATCAGTCATGGTTTCATCTAGTCCAGCCACTCGGTTATCTTGTATAACAACACTATGATCACTTCAACATGATCGAGGCTGCTAGGATCATGAATTGCGTTTTTTTTAATGTAAACAGAGTTAAAAGATTGGAACTTATTCGCTGTGTGTGTTTCAGATTCTTCTAGTGCATGTATTCATCCAGAGTTCAAGCAGCTGGAAACTAACAAAGTGAGCTTGAAGAAGTTGAAATGCTTGGCCTGCAGAGTTCAAGCATTTTTGATTTGAGTATCCCCTTATGCTATTGATCTTATTGTGGTACCAACAATATGTTCACCATCATCATCCCATGATGTTGTGGTACCAATAATCAAGTGTCCTAACTTCTGGGATTCTCTTCACCTTGTCATGTCTTAACACTACTCTAGGGATTAGAGATCACTCACCATTCTTTATCGGCCAAAACAATTACACACGTCACAGTCATTAAACAATAGGCAACTGGCGATTCTTAAATATAAAGAATCCTACACTAAGAATAAGATAAATAGAAGTCACATGGCATTCGCATTTTCAAACTAGCTCTTGTGGTGGTTATGGATCTATATTATGACATAATTTCAATATATACATCTAAAGAAATTCCAAAAGTAGCCAACACTCAGCTGCTGAAATCATTTATCATCCATATTCAGCAATAATTTCAATCAAACCAAATCACAGAGATAACCAGGGTGCGACTCAAATTCTCACATATACAATAATATAACTCAAAACATTACGAGAATCTAGAGATTGGTAGTAGAATATACCGGTGTGGATTCAAGCATCGCCGCAAATTTCGTGAGTACATCTTTTAAAGCATCCATAAACTCCTCTTCTGTGGATGCATCAGAGGGTTCTTTATCTCTCTTATTCAACTGAGATTGTATTGTCTCGTAGAGAAGAGCCACTGATTCGTTCTCTGAAGATACCGGAGGCAAACCCAACTCTTTCCCGTTCTTCATTATCAAAGTCTTTATAAGATCTGCTCGTCCTTGGTTGTCTTTCCCGTTTGAGTCTTCAAGAACTGTTTTCTCTACGAGACACTTGAGTGTCTTCTCGTCTGCTAGAACCTGAGAAAATAATTTGATGGAGTTTTGTCAAAGATCCATGCTATGTTATAAGTAAAGGAGAGTGTGAGCTTAACCTTACGAATCCTTGAACCATTGAAGATCTCGACGTTCTGGACAATGGTTATTGGTTTCTCATGAAGGACATCTGATATTTCTTGTAGAATTGGCTGTAGTAGCTCTGCAAACTGTGCTTGTCCTAGCTCTTCATCGCCATCAGCGTTGTGCTTCTTAATGATGTCATCAAGAATGGGAAAATCTGTTCCAAACAAACAATGCTGAGTTAAAACACTAAATAATGATACGGTTCAAAGTAGAAAATAATTGTTGGTCCTAAAACAAAACCCAAAATCTTAAATACATCATGACATATGAGGCTGACTTTAATCACGTGGATAGAGTAAACTATGGAATACCTGAAAACTAAAAATTTGTAAAAAATAACGAGACTAGACCACCATAGACAATGGTCACTGCCAAAACTGATTTCAGAAGGCTTGATTTAAGAATCACAACAAATTTATTAACTTGCTCAACGATTAAAACTAAGTTACACTATGAGCTGAAGGAAGAAAGAAGAAACCTGATAATGGAGGGACACCCATGTCAACACCCATGAGTGAAAGAGCTTTTCGAAGCTGGCTCTTGGGAAGCTTTCCTTTATCTTTTTCATCCAAATCAGTGAAGAGATGCTCTGCCAACATTGCAAAATCATCCTCATCCTCCAAAATCAGCTTCAATGTACTCCCATCCAAAATTGAGACCACAACTGGAGTATCTGTAAGAAAATATCACTCTACAATCAAAACTGAGTTCACAACTAGAGTATCTGTAAGAAATTATCTAACTCTACAATCAGAACTGACACCACAAGTAGAGTATCTGTAAGAAAACATCACTCTACAATCAGAACTGAGATCACAACTGGATTACGAAAATGTTCAAGAAATGGCTAGGCAGCATTTGGGCACTTTATATAAGAGAATTGATTAGGCCAACGCTTAGACCAATTTTTGAATGAAAAAAAAAATCAGTTTAGAAAATTGTTTTGTTTGGGTCTCATTTGCCTACGACTAGGCAGAAGTCTAGACCGATTTTTAGAATACTGAAAACGTCACTCTACAATCAGAACTGAGACCACAACATAGGTATCTCGAAGAAAATATCACTTTACAATCAGAACTGAGATCACAATCTGCTATACAATCAGAAATGAGATCACAAGTGGAGTATCTGTAAGAAAATATCACTCTACAATCAGAACTGAGATCACAAGTGGAGAATCTCTAAGAAAATATCACTCTACAATCAGAACTGATATCACAACAGGAGTATCTGCAAGAATATATCACTCTACAATCAGAACTGAGACCACAAGTCAGAGTATTTGTAAGAAAACATCACTCTACAACCAGAACTGAGATCACAAGTATCTATAAGAAAACATCACTCTACAACCAAAACTGAGATCAAAACTGGAGTATCTATAAGAAAACATCATTCTACAACCAGAACTGAGATCAAAACTGGAGTATCTATCAGAAAATATCATTCTACAATCTGAACTAAGATCACAAATATCTATAATAAAATATCACTCTACAATCAGAACTGTGATCACAACTGGACACAGCCCAGTGAAACATTGGCCTTAGCCCGAGGTTATATACATACACAAAGTTCCCCCAAATGATGAAAAAAAAAAGATTTATAAAAGTTCTTAGTAAATGTTTATGGCTCCCAAAAACCTCAATCCTGCCTGCAATTAGAGTATCACACTACGAAATTCAGTAAAACAATCTATAAACCAAGTCTCTCCTTCAATCAATCTAATAAAACAAAGCCTATTTCTTTTTTTTGTTTTTTGAATTATACAGAGGTATTCTGGCCTCACATAATTGATCCAGACTAGTCACGTGTTACCAGTGTCGGTCCTCTGTCCAGCGATGACACGAAATGTTAATTTCCCAATGGCCGGATTCGAACCCAGGTGGCGGTACTCACACCTGTAAGCCCTATTTCTCCTTCTTTCAAAAACAAACAATAGACTAATACAACAACAATAGTGTACCCCACGATCCTTTCTGACCTAAAAATCTAATTGATCAGATAACGATTTGTAAGAGTGAATTTCAACCGTGTTGAAAGGGAAGGGATGATCCTCGCGGGGGTACCTGTAAGAGCATCAGCAACAGCGGAGACGAACACTCCAAATTTCTCAGTCGCTTGTTCTCTATTTAACTCAGTACGTCGGAAGCTGACGTCATCACCCCCCGCGGAGACTCGCGAGATCGCAGCTTCTTTGATGTGTGGAGGAAGCGAGAGCCCCGAGAGAGATTCAGAGACCTTGGATTCGGAGAGTTCGAGAAGCTGCGATCCGGTGACGCCGTGATCGAGCTCCGGAAGGTTGAGATCGATGGATCTGAGTACCGCACCGTCGAAGATCGTTAACCCCGTGCTCGACATTGATAGAGAGAGAGAGGGAGAGAGCGATCACCTGTGACTTCAAGTGACGGTGAAACCGTGAAAGACCGTTATAAAAACTTTTGTTTAGTCAACGGGAAGCGTTGACTCTCGCTGTTCTTAAGGGTATAGATAAGGCCCGATAGTACGGGAAATATTACGTTATTGCCATTACGGGCCTGCAATAATTAGCTTAGCCACAATGGGCTGTTATTACACAGCTCATATGTGGAAGACGATGAGAATGTTTCTCAACGATAACAAAATCTCACAAATATTACAATTTTTTTTTTTGAAAACTATTCCTTTTTTTTTCTTTTTGTTTTATTAGTTTCTAAATTTTTTAGTTTTCATCAGTGTAAAATATATTTTAGTCTGTTAAAAATATTGACCAAAATCTCACAAATGTTACATTTTTTTTAACACTATTCCTTTTTTTTTCTTTTTTTATTAGTTTCTAATTTTTTTTTAGTTTTTATCAGTGAAAAATATATTTTAGTCTGTTAAAGTTATTGACCAAAATCTGACAAATATTACAATTTTTTTTTTTGAAAACTATTCCTTTTTTTCTTTGTTTTATTAGTTTCTAATTTTTTTTTAGTTTTTATCAGTGAAAAATACATTTTAGTCTGTTAAAATTATTGACCAAAATCACACAAATATTACAATTTTCTTTTTGAAAACTATTCCTTTTTCTCTTTATTTTATTAGTTTCTACAATTTTTAGTTTTTATCAGTGAAAAATATATTTTAGTCTGTTAATATTATTGACCAAAATCTCACAAATATTACAAATTTTGTTTTTTGAAAACTATTCCTTTTTTTCTTTATTTTATTATTTTCTACATCTTTTAGTTCTTACTAGTGAAAAATTCCCTTAAATTCACCAATAATCCTCTAAATTATATATAGTTGTTATAAATAAAACAAAATAATACATTATGTCTTTTTTCGAATAGCTAGTTTTTTTTTTTCGTTAAAAAAAAGAGTTTTGTGTTAAGTCTGATGTTAAATTTTATAGCAGAAGAAAAAAAAAATTAGAAGTGGTAATGCCCTGTTTGGTCTAGGTGTCCCTGACTGAGCTTGCTGTGATTGCTGGCGTCGCTGCGTTGCTTTTCGGACCCAAGAAGCTTCCTGAGATTGGTCAAAGTCTTGGCAAGACCGTCAAAAGCTTTCAACAGGTTTGACTCATTAGAAGAAAAAAAAACTGAAAGAATTTTGGAATCTGAACGTTATAAATTTTAGCTTCAGATGTGTCTTATTATCTTGAATCAAAGAAGAACATGATAGAACATTGCTGGTAATTGTTATGGCTCTTGGTTCTTCTCAAGATAGTTTAGCTTCTACTTTTAGCTCTTGTCTTGCATTGATGAAAGACTTTTTTGGTTTTTAGCAATGATGCAGGCTGCAAAAGAGTTTGAGCCTGAGATTAAGACAGAACCTGAAGATTCTGTTGCTGACACATCTCCAGTATCAATGAGCAACAAGGCAGAGGAAAAGACTGAGGTTTCGTCAAGCTCAAAGGACAATGTATGAAGATTGTGAGACTTTAGGTTTTGTTTTGTTTTCCTGTGAAATGAGTTTAGTTGAAGGAAGAAGATTAGTCTTCCCTGTAAGAATTGGGATCCATGGTGTTTGAATCTGTAAAAAGAAAAGCTTGCAAAGAGTACATAGAACTCTGAGCATACCAACATGGTGGAACTGAAACGAAAACAGAATTTCTCATGACAGTCTTATGATCTTGTTCTGAATATTACAATTCCAAGTATTTACTCTAATCAATTTTTATTTTTATTTTTTTGTCAAGATCAAGCCCAAATTTTATTATTCTGTTTATTTTTGAAAAGAAATGTGAGAAATTGCTTATTTACATTTTACAAAAAGAAAAATGGATTAATGGTTATTCCATCAATTACACACAAAAACAAAATACAACAATAATGCAAAGAAAAATCTTCCTAAATACTATTTTATCATTTTAATAAGAAGGAATAAATATATATATTCTACTTTTTAATTTACTTCAGTCATTTTATCTCATCCATTTTTATTTTATTTCACTAATTTCATTTTTATGTTTACCATTTACATAGCTTTTGTAAATAATAGGTAATAATCATGAGAAATGCAAACAAACATATACTTGTCAGCAAGATGATCCGTTTTTCTCTCGTACTCGGTCAACGAACAAACCGGCGACGAACATTCGTAAGCTTTCTGTTAGCTTTCTTACAATCGCCCTAAAGCGCTATTTAAAATGCTTGCACGTACCAAGAAAAAGAAAGTTTAGTTAAATCGAAAAAGATCGATCAAGATCGCAATATATTGAGATCAAAATGGCGATGGAAGTTGCAACTCCGATTCATGCACCGATTACATCTCCAGCGAGCAACCTCATCATATCAGCAACAACGGCCGTGGAAACTCCGAAGAAGAACAGGATCCAAGTTTCTAACACCAAGAAACCTTTGTTCTTCTACGTTAACCTCGCTAAGGTAGTGTAAAAACATTCGTTAATTATCATAGCAACGGTTTATTGGTATTCAAGCAACCATGTTTTATATGTGAATTTAGTGACTGTATAAACTAAACATTTTTTTTTGTTTTTTCGTATGTGATGTGAATGCAGAGATACATTCAACAGCACAACGAGGTTGAGCTTTCAGCACTTGGAATGGGTATAAGATTAAAGAGACTATAGTCATTTTTAAGTTTAAATGAATCAAACTTTTTGTGACAATTGTATAATAGTTTTTTTTTTTTGATAAATTAGAGGTCAAGGCGAATGTTTCATATAGTTGTGACATTGGGTTTCAATTACAATCGTTCAGTCTTTAGTCTCCCTCTTTGTTTCTGTGTGTTTAAAATACTTTTGAGTATTTGCAGCGATCACAACAGTGGTTACTATCTCAGAAATTTTGAAAAACAATGGACTTGCAACAGAGAAGAGTAAGCATTTCTCTTGATCTTTATTAACATTGTTTCTTTCCTTCTTCTTTTTTTTCTTTTTGTTTCTTGAATTCATTTGTGTGAAACAAACAAACAGAAGTTCTCACATCGACAGTGGGAATGAAAGACGAGACCAAAGGGAAGATAGTTCAGAAGACAAAGGCCAGTTTGTTTTTTTCTTAATTTCTCCTGTTTCTAAGATTTTAAGTGTGTATTATCGGTTTCATTATTTCGGGTCTGAAATATACAGATTGAGATTGTGTTGGAGAAATCAGACAAATTCGATTCTCTGATCACTCCGGCACCGGAGGAGGAGGCGGTGGCTAAAGTTGGGGAGAAACCAATAGAAGCTGAAGCTCATGAAGGCAAGGAGTGATCATCTAGACAAATAATTCGAGGATTAGTATCATTTTCTTTATTTCTATAATGAGCAAACTGTTTGTGCGATGACACATAACAAAGAACTAGATACAGACCCACACTGTGCACGGATATTGTTTTTATCATTTTTTTGTTAAAATTATTCACATTAACTCTTCCATTTGGTTTTTGGTTTCGGTTGTGGTTTGGTTCTAAAGGTTTAAGATCCGTTCGGGAATTTAGAAAATTTGGTTCGATTGCAATTTGTTTTTGTTTTTTTGGTTCAAGTAACAAAGTTGGAAATCGGCTAATATTCGAGATAATTTCAGATCCTATTCGATTTGTTTCTGGTATTTTAGTTAATTCAGGTTTAAAAATCATAAAATTCAAGGATTTTAAATTTAATATGTGATAAAATCTAGATAATTTAGTCTTTTTGCGTATGTGGATTTGTAAACAGAATTATTAAATTATTTGATTATTTCAAAACTAAATATAGTTAATATTAAAAATTATGTAAATTATATTACAGAAATTTGGGTATCTATTCAGTTTTTAGTGTTCGGTTCCGATTCAGCTTTAGTTCTGATTTGGTTCGATTCTTTGGTTCTAAATATATTTGATTCGTTTGGGTAATTGGGTAGAATCCAAACCCAAACCAAACCTTTTTTTGTTTGTTTTTTTTTTGGTTTCAGTACAATGTGTGCATGCCTAATACATATTGTGCTATACAATTTTCAAATTTGTGGTTTATATTTGTTTTATAGAATATGTGGATATAATGTATATTTTTCTATTTTTGACATTTTTAATATATTTCCTTTACATATATATAATTGATTTGTGTTATAATATGTGTTGTACATAGTTTTAGTTATAATGTAAATATTTCATATGTAGTAATTTAGTGGTTTGACTTGGAGATTAATGGTGATATTATTTTATTTAAAGTAAGGAGGTTATTTTGTTTTAATTTTATATTTTTTTTAATTAGGACATAAAAATAAAAACGTAAAACTCAAAAATAAATATCTAAAATAGTTAAGCAATACTCAAAACACCAAAAATATTTGATATATCTGTTGTTTCACAATCTGTGTTTCAAAAAAAAAAAAAAAAAAAAAAAATCTGTTGTTTCACAATCTAAATTTTCAAGTCAAACCAATTTTATTTTAAGTTAAAGAATTTTAAATATATTTTTCAAATCTATATGTTATATATTATTTTTATATTTTGAGAAATTTGAAGTATAAATAAACTTTAAAATTGTTTAAACATGTTATCCACCAAATCCGAATCACAATTTATAAAATACATGAATTAGACTGAAATATTTAACTCGGAAAACCTAACCCCGAATAGATCTGAACCGATCCGGATGGATATCCGAAAACGCATACCTTAGGATATAGGAAGTAGATTAATTCTTAATCAATCTTACATGGTTTTATTTATACAATATAATTTATTGTTTAGCTATAGTGTAGGAAGTAGTTTAGTCACCAATATATAAAAACATTACGATTGAAGTAACAAATTCTTATGCAATTTTAATATATAAGAAATATTCAAATAATTTCTAGTTAAGATTATAAGGAATGATCATGTTTTAATGGTATTGATACTCAATATTTCAACCGTGATAACTAATAATTTATCCGAATTACCCAAAATAACTAATTTGGCAAGACATGTAGATTGAGTGCAACCCAAAAGTTCTTCCACGGCAAAACAAGGATTTGAACTCACATCTAGTATATCAAAATTTTGTTGACAAACAATAAATAAATTATATGTATGTTTACCCAAATAGCAGAACACTTTCTTTTTATCTTATTTCAATCAAACTCTAAAAACATAAACCTATATTACCTTGAACATTGCTGAGGATGAATACTATGAAAACACAAGAAACCATGACAATATTACTAGACATCATATAATTAAGTATGAATTATTATTATTTTTTAGTTGAATTCAGTCTTTTGTCTAATTGTAATAATCAATATATGCTAGTTGTTGTTTTTGACATGCGAGATAAATATATACAAAATATTCTAAATATAGCTTCTTTTTTTTCACAGATTCTAAACATAGCTATATGTACTAGAATAGAAAAAGAAAGGAGTAGGAAAAATCAACAAAATTGTGCACTCTTTTTGAAGAATGAAAAAATTTCTTGTTTTTAATTTTCTTTACTATTTAAAGAAAACTAATTTTATAGTTGAATAATTCAACACAAGTATAAATGAAAATATATAATTAATGAAAAGACTAGGTGGCTCATGGAACATCTACTAAAACTGGAACGCTGGTACAAATTTTTTTTATATAGATTAATTAACTAGCAAATATTTGGTCATTTTTTTTAGCATGCATGATAAATATCAACTTGAGCTAGCTTAGCGTGTGCAGTCGATCTGGGTTTAGTGCCCAATTAACTAATCAAAGATTACATAATTGGGGAGTAATTTTAAAACCATCATACTTATATTTAGGAATATATAGCTTTACTCTGGATATCACTTCAAAATAAGTCACTTATATAGCGATTACGCGTATTTTAGTCAAATGTTAAGTTATGGATTCGAGCTTCTTACTGCGTTTTAATAGATTTAAACACATTAGATTTAAATGGAAGGGTGAAATTGTTATATTTAATTTATTTTAACGAAATAAATATCATGATAGTTAATGGATAAAATAATTTATAATGTGTCAAAATAAAATGGATATTCATGCTAAAATTTTGATATAAATTATTGCTTGTTTAAACAAGTAATTTTTATAAATGAGTAAATAAACCACATATTGATTGTTTATATATTTCGATAAAAAAGAGTTTGAAACCTGTGAGTAGAAACACACTATTATGGTATCATCTTTTATTTTAGTGAACAATGAGTACTCAGTCATATTTTATTTTATGTCATTTTATTATTTGGCAAGAAATCAATTAGATAGTTATCTATAAAATTGCAAAATAAAACTAAAGAAGAAATAAAACAAAAGGAAAGAAAGAAAACATATGTGATATTAATAAATTCCTAACCAAAAATGAGGAAGGGTTAGAAGGGAGTTAGAATTCAACATACTCAAGCATGGAATTAACAATTAGAATTTAACTTGTTTGGAATTAACAAGTTCAAAACTTAAGCTTGGTAGTTTAGCTTAGGTATTTTCTTGTATTCTTTTTGTTTTTGTTTTTGCATATCTTTTTGTGTGATAGCCGTAACTAGAAATACCTTGTGCTTGTGATTAATTAGATAAACTTATATTTTATAGCATCACTGATAAACTTTGTTTGAATAATAAAAATAATTTTATTGAGTTAAAATAAGAAGCAAATAAGTACAAAATAATGTTTGAGTCTCTTTACAAATTTGTATCTCAGATCTCAAGATTGCAAGCTTATTATGTATTTTTTATTTGTACATTTTAGGAAAACATAGTTATCAAGGTTAACAAGTCCAGTCGCAGTAACATGTATCCCGATTCTCACATTTACATTTAAATCCTTTTTCTTTAGCCATGCGTGGATGCTTTTTAGCTTTGGCAAGACATGTAGATTGAGTGCAACCCAAAAGTTATTCCACGGCAAAACAAGGATTTGAACTCACATCTAGTATATCAAAATTTTGTTGACAAACAATAAATAAATTATATGTTTGTTAACCCAAATAGCAGAACACTTTCTTTTTATCTTATTTCAATCAAAATCTAAAAATATATAAACCTATATTACCTTGAACATTGCTGAGGATGAATACTATGAAAACACAAGAAACCATGACAATATTACTGGACATCATATGATTAAGTATGGATTATTATTATTTTTTAGTTGAATTCAGTCTTTTGTCTAATTGTAATAATCAATATATGCTAGTTGTTGTTTTTGACATGCGAGATAAATATNTTTTTTATATAGATTAATTAACTAACAAATATTTGGTAATTTTTTTTTAGCATGCATGATAAATATCAACTTGTGCTAGCTTAGCGTGTGCGGTCGATCTGGGTTTAGTGCCCAATCAACTAATCAAAGATTACATAAAGATTAGTTGGGGAGTAATTTTAAAACTATCATACTTATATTTAGGAATATATAGCTTTACTCTGGATATCACTTCAAAATAAGTCACTTATATAGCGATTACGCGTATTTTAGTCAAATGTTAAGTTATGGATTCGAGCTTCTTACTGCGTTTTAATAGATTTATTCGCATTAGATTTAAATGGAAGGGTGAAATTGTTATATTGAATTTTTTTTAACGAAATAAATATCATGATAGTTAATGGATAAAATAATTTATAATGTGTCAAACTAAAATGGATATTCATGCTAAAATTTTGATATAAATTATTTCTTGTTTAAACATTTAATGTTTTATAAGTGAGTAAATAAATCACATATTGATTGTTTATATATTTCGATAAAAAAGAGTTTGAATCCTGTGAGTAGAAACACACTATTATGGTATCATCTTTTATTTTAGTGAACAATGAGTGCTCAGTCATACTTTATTTTATGTCATTTTATTATTTGGCAAGAAATCAATTCGATAGTTATCTATAAAAATTGCAAAATAAAACTAAAGAAGA